GGGTGGAGGGGCTTTGAGTTTCAGTTTTCGGAGCTTCGGCTTCAAAACCTAAGTCACCAGAGAATGTAGTTACGGCACACAGACGAGTCGTCGTCGCCGTCGTTGGCTGGCACCACGCTCGCGGCCGATATCCGCTGCGATGATTTCCTTTTCAGCACTCACCTAACCTCGTAAGCCATGAGTGCTGCGTCATCTTGCAGTGAAGACCATCATCTCTAAATCCTGAAACGCTGAACCCCAGAACACTTGCGACCAAGACCCTAAGCCCCATAGCCCAAGTCGTCGGTTTAGGGTTTAGGCTTCAGGGTTCAGGTTTAGGGTTTAGGGAGTGCTAAGTCTTCACGTACATGCAGGAGAGCATCTACCTTTAGCTGAACTCCCTGTAAGGTACGGGCAAAACATACTTTGAAGATCCGACATAACAGAAACCATAAACAAAACAAGGAGAGACCAAAACCTTAGCCACCAACTTCTAATCACGTAGCCGGCCCTCTGAACCGCAATCCAACATCTAAGGTTTAGGGTTTGGATACAGGCCCTGACCCTAATTAGGAATGCAAACGCAGCAGATCCTGCTAATCCTTATACTACCGCCCTCAGGCCCTCGCCCTAGACCCTAAACCCCAAACCCTACAACCGAGATTGACCCAAGCTCAAGCCCAAATCCTACAAACCCAAAACCGAAACCCAAACCCAACACCCTGAGCCCCAAACCCTAAACCCTAAGCCCAAAACCCACCTTCCCCCGATCCTTCAGGTTGATGTAGGGACTTATGAACTGGATTCGATTCTGGGGAGTAGTTTATGTCATATCAGGGAACCCTTAGGAATCGCTACATCTTAAACCCGTCCTTCAAAAAAACTTGTTTATGACAACCCTTCTAAACCCTAAAGCCTAAGCCCTTATAGCAGCCCGTCTGTAAACCCTAAATCCCTAAAGCCCTCAACCCCAAAAGTCTAAAAATCTAAAACCCTAAAAACCCTAAAACCATAAACCCTAAAACACTGAACAACACTGAACCTAAAACCCTCAAAACCTAAAACCCTAAAAGCATAAAGCCAAAACCCTAAACCCTAAACCCCAAACCTTAAACCTTGAAGCCCTAAAACCCTAAACTCTAAACCCAAACCCCTAAACCCTAAAACCTAAACCCTCTAGATCCCTTAAAGGAACCAAGGCCCTAAACCCTAAACCCTAAACCCTAAAACCTAAGGAGGAGAATCCTGGAGACTCTGAGGTCTGAACTTCAGGGCCGAGACCGAGCGCGACGGCGTGTCACCTGAGAGTCTGGTTTAGGGTTTAGGGTTTAGGGTTTAGGGTTTAGGGTTTAGGTCCGAAGTTTAGGGCTTTAGGGCCTTTAGGGCTTTTAGGGTTTTTAAGCTTTTAGGGTTTTTTTAAAGTATGTTTAGGGTGTTTTGGGTGTGTAGGGATTAGGGCTTCTAGGTTTCCTTTAAGAGGGTTGCTTTGAGGGTCTTATGAAGGGATCTATAAGGGTTTCGGGTATAGGGTTTAGGGTCTTAGGATGCTTTAGGGTTTCTTAGGGCTTTAGGGGTTTAGGGTTTGAGGGGTTTAGGGCTTATAGGGTTTAGGCTTTTAGCGTTTAGGGCTTTAGGGTTTCGGGTTTTACGGCTTTCAGGGTTTATGGTTAGGGGTTTAGGGGTTTGAGGGATTCCGAAGTGAAAGGGCGTTAGCATTTGCAGTTTCGGTTTTTTTTGGGTTTAGATTTGGGAGTTTCGGATTTTAGGATTTAAGGTTTCGAGCTTCAGGATTTAGAGTGTCGGGTGCTGAGATTTCGAGTTTCGGATTTTCGAGTTTCATAGGATTGAGTTTCGGATTTTTAGGGCCGTGGTTTCTCGGAGTTCAGGATTTAGAGTTTCGGATCTTTGGCTTTAGGGTTTACGGGGATTTTGAGTTTCGAACCTGAGGAATTTAGATTTACGGAATTTAGGACTTAAAGGTTGGACCTTAGGGTCTTACACTTTTCGGCCCTGTTTATGAAAAGCGCCCTAAACCCTAAACCCGGTGGTGTTGTGCTTGGGGTTTGAATTGATTCAGGGGTCGGTCTTTCGGGTCAGGGCTGGAGGGGTTCAGGGCTTAGGGATTTGAGGTTTAGGGATTCAGGGTTTAGGGATTTAGGGCTGAGGGTTTAGAAAGTTAGGGTTTAGGCCTTGGGGGTTTACGGTTAGGGATTTAGCGTTTAAGGCATTGAGCTGAGGGATGTGTTTAGGGTTTATGGGAGCTGTACATAACCGTGTCTTTGGAATTTCAGGAACTGCGCATTTCAAATCGGCCTTATTAAGGGGGTTACTATATAGAATATTCAGGCCAAAGGCTATACTATTTCGGGTTTAAGGTTTAGGACCCTAAACC